GCGAGTGTATCACAGAGCTCCACAGGAGTAAAACACACGGTAACACGCGAAAGTGAGTATGAGTGTATCACAGAGCTCCACAGGAGTAAAACACACGGTAACACGCAGTGAGTATGAGTATCACAGAGCTCTACAGGAGTAAAACACACAGTAACACGCAGTGAGTATGAGTGTATCACAGAGCTCCACAGGAGTAAAACACACGGTAACACGCAGTGAGTATGAGTGTATCACAGAGCTCCACAGGAGTAAAACACACGGTAACACGCAGTGAGTATGAGTGTATCACAGAGCTCCACAGGAGTAAAACACACGGTAACATGCAGTGAGTATGAGTATCACAGAGCTCCACAGGAGCAAAACACACGGTAGCACGCAGGGAGTATGAGTGTATCACAGAGCTCCACAGGAGTAAAACACACAGTAACACGCAGTGAGTATGAATGTATCACAGAGCTCCACAGGAGTAAAACACACGGTAACACGCAGTGAGTATGAGTACCAGAGAGCTCCACAGGAGTAAAACACACGGTAACACGCAGTGAGTATGAGTGTATCACAGAGCTCCACAGGAGTAAAACACACAGTAACAAGCAGTGAGTATGAGTGTATCACAGAGCTCCACAGGAGTAAAACACACGGTAACACGCAGTGAGTATGAGTACCAGAGAGCTCCACAGGAGTAAAACACACGGTAACACGCAGTGAGTATGAGTATCACAGAGCTCCACAGGAGCAAAACACACGGTAGCACGCAGGGAGTATGAGTGTATCACAGAGCTCCACAGCAATACAATTCAGATAAAGAAATTTAATGCAGTACAATCCGTCTCCCTCATTATTCCCCTGCTAGTACACGCTCACAGAGGATGGATTGGCTAACCGAAAAAGATAAATCCCATGTTTACACAGGATGGCTTATTTGCTGTGAATATCCTGCTCTCGGGCGGCGGATCCGGTTACAATAGACAGTAATGTGGATGGTGAATTTAATACCTGTGTTAGTATGAGATTATATGAACTTTCAAACACTGTCATTCCCTCGGGTCTAGGTTACATGTACAGGCACGTAGCCCACCCCCAGGAGTATTGGGATTGGGGGGGACGGATATTGTGGGAAACGCATGTTATGACCCCAGGCGCTGCTCGAAATATCTAACTGATCATACAATACTCTACGTTAAATGCTACAAAAAAAACACACTGACAGTGAGGCTTCACGCCACGTAAACACATTCACACCAGGAGCCATCTACAGGGATCCAGCAAAAAAAAAATACATCTATCGATACCCATAAACTATCCATCTAAATCTGATCTAGAACATCTACAGTATTTATATATCGATACCCATAAACTATCCATCTAAATCTGATCTAGAACATCTACAGTATTTATATATCGATACCCATAAACTATCCATCTAAATCTGATCTAGAACATCTACAGTATTTATATATCGATACCCATAAACTATCATCTAAATCTGATCTAGAACATCTACAGTATTTATATATCGATACCAGTAAACTATCCATCTAAATCTGATCTAGAACATCTACAGTATTTATATATCGATACCCGTAAACTATCATCTAAATCTGATCTAGAACATCTACAGTATTTATATATCGATACCCGTAAACTATTCATCTAAATCTGATCTAGAACATCTACAGTATTTATATATCGATACCCATAAACTATCCATCTAAATCTGATCTAGAACATCTACAGTATTTATATATCGATACCCGTAAACTATCATCTAAATCTGATCTAGAACATCTACAGTATTTATATATCGATACCCATAAACTATCCATCTAAATCTGATCTAGAACATCTACAGTATTTATATATCGATACCCGTAAACTATCCATCTAAATCTGATCTAGAACATCTACAGTATTTATATATCTATACCCATAAACTATCCATCTAAATCTATTCCAAACACTACAGTATTTATATACTCCATACCCATAAACTATCCATCTAAATCTGATCTAGAACATCTACAGTATTTATATATCGATACCCATAAACTATCCATCTAAATCTGATCTAGAACATCTACAGTATTTATATATCGATACCCATAAACTATCCATCTAAATCTGATCTAGAACATCTACAGTATTTATATATCGATACCCGTAAACTATCCATCTAAATCTGATCTAGAACATCTACAGTATTTATATATCGATACCCATAAACTATCCATCTAAATCCGATCTAGAACATCTACAGTATTTATATATCGATACCCATAAACTATCCATCTAAATCTGATCTAGAACATCTACAGTATTTATATATCGATACCAGTAAACTATCCATCTAAATCTGATCTAGAACATCTACAGTATTTATATATCGATACCCATAAACTATCCATCTAAATCTGATCTAGAACATCTACAGTATTTATATATCGATACCCGTAAACTATCCATCTAAATCTGATCTAGAACATCTACAGTATTTATATATCGATACCCGTAAACTATCATCTAAATCTGATCTAGAACATCTACAGTATTTATATATCGATACCCATAAACTATCCATCTAAATCTGATCTAGAACATCTACAGTATTTATATATATTTATATATCGATACCCGTAAACTATCCATCTAAATCCGATCTAGAACATCTACAGTATTTATATATCGATACCCATAAACTATCCATCTAAATCTGATCTAGAACATCTACAGTATTTATATATCGATACCCATAAACTATCATCTAAATCTGATCTAGAACATCTACAGTATTTATATATCGATACCCATAAACTATCCATCTAAATCTGATCTAGAACATCTACAGTATTTATATATCGATACCCATAAACTATCCATCTAAATCTGATCTAGAACATCTACAGTATTTATATATCGATACCCGTAAACTATCCATCTAAATCTGATCTAGAACATCTACAGTATTTATATATCGATACCCGTAAACTATCATCTAAATCTGATCTAGAACATCTACAGTATTTATATATCGATACCCATAAACTATCCATCTAAATCTGATCTAGAACATCTACAGTATTTATATATCAATACCCGTAAACTATCCATCTAAATCTGATCTAGAACATCTACAGTATTTATATATCGATACCCATAAACTATCCATCTAAATCTAATCTAGAACATCTACAGTATTTATATATCGATACCCGTAAACTATCATCTAAATCTGATCTAGAACATCTACAGTATTTATATATCGATACCCATAAACTATCCATCTAAATCTAATCTAGAACATCTACAGTATTTATATATCGATACCCGTAAACTATCCATCTAAATCTAATCTAGAACATCTACAGTATTTATATATCGATACCCGTAAACTATCCATCTAAATCTAATCTAGAACATCTACAGTATTTATATATCGATACCCATAAACTATCCATCAATATCTAATCTAGAACATCTACAGTATTTATATATCGATACCCATAAACTATCCATCTAAATCTGATCTAGAACATCTACAGTATTTATATATCGATACCCGTAAACTATCCATCTAAATCTGATCTAGAACATCTACAGTATTTATATATCGATACCCGTAAACTATCCATCTAAATCTGATCTAGAACATCTACAGTATTTATATATCGATACCCGTAAACTATCCATCTAAATCTAATCTAGAACATCTACAGTATTTATATATCGATACCCGTAAACTATCATCTAAATCTGATCTAGAACATCTACAGTATTTATATATCGATACCCATAAACTATCCATCTAAATCTGATCTAGAACATCTACAGTATTTATATATCGATACCCATAAACTATCCATCTAAATCCGATCTAGAACATCTACAGTATTTATATATCGATACCCATAAACTATCCATCTAAATCCGATCTAGAACATCTACAGTATTTATATATCGATACCCGTAAACTATCCATCTAAATCTGATCTTGAACATCTACAGTATTTATATATCGATACCCGTAAACTATCCATCTAAATCTGATCTAGAACATCTACAGTATTTATATATCGATACCCGTAAACTATCCATCTAAATCTGATCTAGAACATCTACAGTATTTATATATCGATACCCACAAACTATCCATCTAAATCTGATCTAGAACATCTACAGTATTTATATATCGATACCCGTAAACTATCCATCTAAATCTGATCTAGAACATCTACAGTATGTATGTTCATTGCACAGCATTCATTCATCACAATCAATTCAGTATTTAGCTACAATATCCATCTGTCGTCTATTTGTACCTATTTATCAGTATTTATATTTAATATCAGTTGCATATCTTCCTATCCACATTATCCATAGTGGCAATCTGATTCATAGAAGACGATTCCACTCTCTCTTTAAATGAGAACTTAACTAGGATTCCTCAATGTGGCCAATGAATCCTAAAATGGGAATACACCTTCCCAACACTAACACGAGAACCCTGCATTGCTCTTTAAGGATAGTTCCCAATATGTGGCCATCTCATCATTCAATCTAGCACCATGGTTACAGCACCATCATTAATAACCAATCAATCAAGCAATCAATAATCATTTCTAGAGTGCTGGCTCCCCGTCAGAATGACGATGCAATACTTACTGTTCTGATAGTCGTGGACGCGAAAGTCATAGTGGCAGGAGCTGGCTGTAGGCACCCCATTCAGGGTCATGTTGATGATAAGGGTTTCTTTATCACAGAGGTATTTTGGGGGGCTTTGGTGGGATGTATGGTTGTCATGTGGCTTGTTCTTCACCTTCCAGGTATAATGCTGGACTCCAT